CGTCGTCGGACGTCGTCGTCGTCGTCTAAGTGTCCGATCTTTGTATTAATTATTGTAAAAAACTTTAATAATTTTTCTCATGCCACATAAATTAACCATATATTGTGTTCGTATAGAGTTTTATTAATTGTTGAAATGTGCATTATAATTGTTGGAAAGCTGCATTTTGAAGCAGTTATATGTAAATATTTGAAATTTATGAAGTCTTCCAAAAAATTATCTTTCCTTACTTCCTAACTGGTTGTAAGCAGTATCTCTGCTTTTTTAAATTACAAAGTTGTCAATGAGAACCCATGATAGTAGTACAGAACACTAAAATTGTATTAATTTAGGGCATGGATCACATATCAGCCAAACACATGGTGCATCGCGACTTGGCGGCGCGGAACATTCTAGTCGTGAACAGAGAAAAGGTGAAGATCTCAGACTTTGGCCTCGCGAGGATCATACCGAGACAGGACGACGAATATAGACTGATGACTAATCGGCTGCTGCCTATTAAATGGTATGATTTTAGTATTTGTATACTCGTAGTCTGTTTTCGTTTAGTGCCTAAGTAAATATTAAGTATCCATGAAAAAAATTATCATTTTCAATCAATTATATGCACGTAAAACATATATCAGTGCAGGCGTGCTAGTGGCTGGCGTGCCTGTTACAGTCATCTGTGTATAATACTTTATTTATTTCTTAGTAGCGATAGGCGAGACGAGTTATCTAACTCGATTAACTAGAGTTAATCCCACAACGAGTCAACTCGAGCTACTTTATTATGAACTCGAGCTAGCTCGGCGCGGTACCCGCCCCGCTGGCCGGAGTGGAATACTCCATACATACAGCGTCGGCTACTCGTTCTCACTCGGTCAGTTCGGCAACTTTCGGGGCAGGCTCGAGTCGGCCTAACTCGGCGAATCGTCGGTTCGAGTTCATATGAATATCGAGCGATGCGGCGGCTCTTGCTACTCGCGATTGCTCTGTCAGACACCCAGTCGAGTCAACTTGAGTCAGCAATCTCGTCAACTCGAGTTACTCGAGTTGAAAAAATACAACTTGTCCTATCGCTACTTCTTAGTCGATACTTATTCCCATGTCTCATACTATAGTTGTCGCAATGTAAGAGGCCCAATTTGACAGCTAAGGTAGACGATAGTGTGTATTTTATTGTATGTATTGATACCCATACATTCAGCCAGGAATACTGTGTTGTGGTCACCAAGCGGCGTTGATATCCTAATATTGAGGTCTTCTGAGAATACCCTAGTGCCTGTTACTGAAGTTGTTTATGATCCATCGGTGAAGACGCGGACCTCTCTGGGGTTCAGTCCTTCGTTTAGATCTTCAAACAATTGTATCTTGTATTTTTTGTCAAAAATGTATTGTTTTTGGATCCTATTCACAGCCGCCTCCAGTAGCGGTTCCTCATTGACAGTCTTGTAAAGGTTTTCTTTATGTGGGACCGTCATGTGCTTCCGAATGCCGGCTCTGTTTAGACGCATGGCTGTTGATGCTGCTTTCTCTTCGTCTGATGGACAGTGGTACGTGCCGCAGGTCCAGCATCGCTTCGAGAGCCGCTGTTGGAGTTGTCCTCATGCAGCCAGTTGTCGCCATATATACTAGCCTTTGGAATTTGTCCAGCTTGTCGGTTGCGGTCGTTAGTTTGGTTCGTAGCTACCATACTATCGCGCCGTAGCTAATTTCAATAATTATACATACAGATGATACTACTACCTCAATTGATGATTTTGGCATCTTTCGATGAAAGTGAATAAACATTTACACTATGACGTCTTTGTTTGGTCTTTGTTTGGTTTGCTTCAGAATTTTGCTATTTACCTACGGGTTGTCCTTGTGAACTCTGTTATGTAACTTCACTACAACAACTATTACACCTAATGCGACTACTACAACTACAGGTTGTCGTTGTGATAATTTAAAATATTTTCATATATGTATATTAAACTCTACATTGCTTGAATAAATGGTAATTGTTCTATCTAGAACAGAACACCAATGATCCGAAAAATAATCTAAACAGACGGACGATATTTTGAATTGATTTCTCGTGAGAATCGTTTAATGTGGTTGTCGATGTTTCGTTCACATCCTTATTTACGTTGCGATTACAAATGTCAAAAGGTGCCTCTTATTATGTGACGACTATAGTGATCTATAACGTCGACGTAATGTGCCTAGGTACGCGCCGGAATCCGCTGTGAAGCCGTGGCACTTCTCGACGTACAGCGACGTGTGGTCGTACGGCGTCACCGTGTGGGAGATTTTCACGCGCGCTGCCATTGAAGTGCCTACCTTCAACACCGATCGCCCGCTTGAGAGAGCTTCCTGGTCAGTACTTTTTAATTTAATCCAAAAATACCATGTAAACCATTGACCTACCAATAAATGGTCGCCAGGTTCGCGCTAAAAAGTGTCCACACCTGTAGGGCGTTAAAATCGCATACAGAGCGTCAATCGTGCATCAGTCTTTGTTTGTTCGACTGATAGTGCAGTTGTCAATCATGCAGTACCATATAATAATAACTTGTAAAAATTACTGAGTAAAGTGTAAAAATAGGATTTTGTATCATATTTTCACTAAACAGATATATTGTGTTATCATAGTTCTCATTTAAAAGTGTTATTTAAATAAGAACTATTATATATATATAAATTACAAAAGTACACAAATAGTCAAGTAGCTAACTGCCCTTTTTTGTATACATTGCATGCGCAAAAGATGGAAAGAGATCCATTATGTCATTTTCAAGAAGCTTGTATAAACTTCTTGGTCATTTTCAATTGTTCGAACCAGAAGCGATTGAAATATTTAGAACAAAGAAACTATAGAGTCGCTATGATTTGAATTTTATTTTTAAAATATTTTTTATTATTAAACGTTAGCAATAACTAACAAAATATTGTTAAACTCGTTTTACGGCTTGGGATTACCTATCAGAAGTCAGAAAATACATTTGCCCGAAATAACGTTAGCTCGAATTTTCATAATGTCAAATGTATTTTTTATGAAGATTACAAAACAAAAGCTAATTTTGTCTTTGTAAAAAGTATCAAAATTAATCGAAAGCGTAACGATTTTATTATAAATCGGTTTTCGGAATTACGGATATTTGAGTTTAGTTGGAATATCGGTACATTTCTTATAGTACACGCTTATTTTCACATTTGTAGTAATATTTGTAGGTATGTATGTGCCCAACTCTTTATTATTTCTTTAAGTGAATTTGTACAAAATTCGACATAATAATATATATAAAAATTAATTAATATTTACAATAAAGGCTACTCCATTACTTTTGTGTTCAAGTAATTTTCAGTCGAAGCTTAATATGGTGCATTTTGTTAAGTATCTTGTAGAAGCTGAATATGGTGTTATTGGGCCCTTAAATTGTTACAAGCAAAATAGGCAGTACTGGAATGACGTTACAATTTAAATAAATGTTTTAATTTTTTATATTTCGTTACATGTCATTACGTTTGTATAGATTAACTTCGGACATTTTTTTGTGGTTTTTGTATTACACCCGACGTCCATTTATTGGTAGGTCAATGATATATATCCATCTTCCTTCGCTTTCTCATTTTGCTTCGTAACACGGACTCTCTCCGCGATCGCGGTAGCGGAAACATCTACTTTCTTATTTTTGAACCGTTTACATTTTAAGATATTAATATTGTTGTTGTACTGAATAAATTCTATAAACCGGACTTTCGTCTTTTCAACTGCTAAAACTTGCTAAGTAAGACGTACGGAGGCTACGGGGGCTGCGGAGGCTATTACTACCCTTGGACGCCACCAGCACCAGCAGCGCTATTACGGTTTTTTGAGATTCATGTAGCAAAACGGGGCAATATTGAATCTTACGGTTAACGCTGTTACTAATACAATTGCGACAGTACTTTCACGAGCGATAACCGAGCGATTAACCACTCATTAGTTTTGAGGAATTTGGGTCGATTGTCTGTAGAGCAAAAGTAACCCTTTTTCTGACTGACTTAGATCTCACAAATTGCAGAGGACCTAATTATTTAATATTTTTACAGCTTTCCACATCCAGAAGGTTGTCCACCAGAAATATCTCGAGACTTGATAAGGGCGTGTTGGAACCTCAACCCTAAAATGCGCCCGAATTTCGTATACCTCGGCCAATTGTGCAGCAGATTCATCGAAGACTATAGTTAAACGTAAGACTATAATTTTATGGCGACAAATTTTTGTTCTTAAAATGTTGTAAGGCAACAACACGACACGTTCAATTAATTTGGGCTCGTGTCAGGTGTCAATACAATTTATAGTAACGATTGTTATATATTATATTGGACTTGTTATAAAATTTTGCCTGGAAAATTTATAGGCTAACGGGATGTAGTGTTCTTCTTACTCTTTATGGGCTCATTCAGAGTGCCGGCGCGGGTCTTGCCGTCTTCCCTTTCACAGTGCCGAAGCAACTAAAACCGTTAGACCCGCATGTAAGTTGCAAGCAGACGCTAGACCAAGCACTGTGAATAGTAAGGGCGGACTTAGCCAATAGATCCAACTGCTTCTGCGTCTGACACAGGCGCCGGCGCGCGCGGCTACTGTGAACGCAACGAGCGTCTTCGTTCATTTGTTTTACGCGCACCCGCGCCCGCACCCGCACCAGCGCCCGCGCCCTCCGCCACTCTGGGATACAATAGAAGTAGTCTATGATCAAAACACTTGCATTTTTATCATCTAAATTTATTTAGAATACGTTGTTACGTTTATTACTTATTTTATTCTGAACAATTATTAATTGAATGTATCGCATGATGGTAGCTGAAATAAGCGAACGTAAAACGTAAACTTAACATAGGTTGTTTTGTACACTACTCGGATGTTTTAATTTGCTACAATTGTAGGTTTTCACAATTTCACTTCGTAATGAAAATTTTGGAAACGTATATAACAGAAATATTGACTTTTTATACTACATCTCTGATGCTCTCGATTGTTAGTTGCTGAGGCTGATGGATATAAAGTCATGGGCATCCAATGAGGATGTGGCCGACATGACGTGATATGAAGTTTGTTTACCTTGAATGAATGCGAAATAACGGTTGAATTCAAGGTTTGAAAGGTATTCTGGTTGCCTTGTACATGTTCTAAAAGGTTCCTTTATGCATTTGCCTTAGTTTCGTACATTTATAAGTTTGTAAATATTATTTGAATTTTATGTATACTTAGTGCATATGACAGTATCTCATTACGGAGTCTACATTTATATTAAAATCAGTGCAATCAGTTTTAAATAATGTATTTACAACGAATTTTATAGGTTTGTATATTTATATAGCGTTTGTTGGTTCTTGTAATAGATTCCAGTAAATTGTTTACTATTTACACGAATCATGCGTGCCTTTGTTTACAATGCTTGTGTGAATTTATTAACAATCAAGGTTTAATCAAGTCGTAATATACATTATACTTAAAAATTGTAGATTATTTTGCTACCCATTCTGATTCTTTATTTAGATAAAGATCAAGATTCTTGTTGACAGATTATTATAATTGAGACTGTATGAAAGATAGAATGCAAACGCTGACTTAATAATAATATACCAATACCTACAACAGTGGCTTTAGTAATAGCTTTTGGCATCAGATTTTGTGATGATTTTTTTCCATATTTCTTGGTCAGCCATTTTGGAAATTGTGTACATTGTAAAAATATAACATCCACCATACTTCTATAATTTTTAACTTATTGCGTTACATCCAGCCATTAATAAGAGTAACTACAAGCATCGCTCTGAATTCGCGCCAAACAACAGCTGTTCCATATATTTTGGTGTAATGTGTGTGAATAATTTATGTGGAACTTACAGTGGTGGGTGGAACGAAATAATCACCTTGTATATTTTGGAGATAAATGTGTTTTCTTATAACCTTTATGGCAACTATTTCAACGTTTCAGAATGGTTAAGCGAGTTTTATTAAAACCAAAGATATTAAAATGATCGTTTTAAGATAAAGATATATATTGCTAAGTTTTAATTAAAATATTTCAAATTGTGTAAGGTTTAAAAATTACTGTTGTCACTGTTGTGACCATTTTTTAAGCTTAAGGATACTGTAAGAACGTAGTTTATCTTATAAATCGACGTAACTTTTGAGATTTACGTAGTTTTTATTAATGATGATTATGACAAATTTCATTGTACGTATTCGTATTGTAATATTGATGTTTGGTGTTATTTCTATTTTTAACGATTTCATTGGGTTTTCAAGGCGTGGAGTGCGTATATTATACACGCAAAATGTACTGTTCACTTACCAGTAAAACGCTCCACGGATATGGTTCTTACACTTCATATTGACAGTTTATAATCGTGTTACATATATCGATTAGAAATCGAAAAACACATCAGAAACGTGATAATTATATATATATATATATATATATATAAAACCGACCTCAATAGTTTACGGAAAGTGAGTGAAATCTAATAAACTGGATTGATGTCCTAATTTGTCACTCTTAGAGGTGGAATATTTTCTTTAAATTAGAACGGGACCACTACTAAGACCCTTTCCAACAAAAAAAGAGTCATCATAGTCGGTTGACAAATGTCGGAATAATTGCGTAACATACACAAAAATACAGTTAAATTAAGAACCCTCTCCTTTTCTGAAGTCAGTTAAAGACAGTTCGGATCAACGCTTTAAATTGATCTTTGCGTTCATGCTGTCGCACCAGTGCCTATTGAGTAGACAGAGGCTACGAAATGGACGGATCATACATTGCGTATGTACTTCGAATTGTTAGTGATTGAGACTGAGGTGTAGACATTGGTGCTAAACAAGAGATGGCCTTATATTTTCCTGTTCATTGTAAATAGAGGATATTTTTATTAATATAGACAAACTTTGGCAACAGCTTTAGCTTAAAAATTCAATTGGGTGCTTTTGTGAATTCGTTTTCGTCCTCAAAATGTAAATTTTGTTTGTAACTGGACAATATGAGCTTATAGATAATTTAATCGTATTTATGGTATACAAGCGGATAAGTTCTGTTTTTGGTTAAGTTTGCCAAAATCACTTTTTTGTTCATTTAACTCTATTAGTTGTCAGTTTAATGAGCTGTGGCTTGCTTACTGCCATTTCAACTACTATTTATGTGAGTTATGCAAGACCGGTTCTTCTGCTATTGTAAGTAAAATTATTTGTTCTAACAAAAATTTTTTTTTACTAAATTCTTAACACTAATTACAGGTTTCTTACCACGGTATAGGTTCTTTTTATTTTTTCATGGGTTGACTGGCCTGCGGCAGTCCCACATAACCCCGGCTCTGCCCCCGCGGGGCCGGGGTATCTGTAAGCAGATTCCCCCGGATTAACAAAAAAAAAAGAAAAAAGAAAAAAAAGATGACAGCTGTAATAATAGACATATATGTCCACACTCTTTCGTTATCGACGTCTACTCTTATCTCGATTACTTGTGACCTTACCATAGTCATTAAGTTTTTTTCAACAAACCACAATCACTGTATCCACATGCGAAACTTAAGTCGAAGCGAGCGAGGTTTTGTATTTATTATGATTGTTGAAAGCACTAAGCACCGCACGCATTGCTTAGTTGCAATTCTTCATGATTAACGTTTGGCACTTTGTGATCTCGATGGCTTCTCATACCAAACGTGGTATGCAGTGACGTTCAATCGACAGTACTTGGAGGACATGTTGCTCGATCCAGTAGTTGGATATACTTCACTTATACTCGTATATCATTAGTTGCGAAAATTCAGTAAAGTCAAATTTTTTATGGCGGCCATCTTGGATTCGTCATATTGGAAAATTTGTGTCATTTTATGTAAGATGTTTTGGTACAGCTGACTTCAATGCATCATTGTTTTTTACTCAGATGTGTTCCTTCATACGCTCGACGTACTTCGGTCAGACCAAACGGACCGTCGGGGTTTGTAAAGTGAGTGACAGTGGTAACGCCACAAGTAATCAAGATGAAAGTAGTCGTCGACAGCGAAAGAGAGTATAGAGATATGTCTGTTCTTAAAATTGTTATCTGGCCAGTCATTCCGTGCCTATGTAGCGTGTAACCGTTCCGAAATATCGGGAAAATAAAAAGAACTTATCAGTTGTAAGAAACCTGTGGTTAGTGATAATAATTTAGTGAATAACCACGAAAGTCTTCTATATATTTTTTACTAATACGGGTCGTTTTCTTTTGGCTAACTTAACACAGAATTATTATTTGTATGTGAAGTAAAAGAAATCTAAAGCATACACGATTGTTATTGTTGTAAGAAAAAGTGGACAATAAATTTCTACATATATGTTTGTTTAAAAAAATTGATAGTCTTGTTTAGATACAACGAAATAGAATCGGTATATTGTGAACGGATGGGAACATGAGAGAACTTATTTACATTACAGATAAGAACAAATAGGCTTCTATTGACTGTTTTAAATCTAAATGTAGATTATTGTATTTTCAATGTGTTATTTCACCATTTGTAATTGATTCTAAGTGTAAAACTTACTGTTGATAGTTTAAAAACACATACAGCTACTTCAATTAAATAGTTTAGATAACGCTGATTAAGAATTGCTAATTGCCAAAGTTTCGGATTGCGATAAGAAATATTTTGTTGTTGATGTCATGATAACACATGCTCTGCAGCATCTCCGCAGTAACGATTTACTCATAGTACATTATTTAGGTCGTAGTTTAAAAAAATCATGATCCTTTCGAAAGAGACAAACATGAACAGAAGAATTTTTTTCGTAATCGCTTGTAAATGTTTAAAAAATCTCCTGTCATTTTAAACGAATTTTGATGTTATCCTATCTACAACGTTCTTAATGTTTAGCGTCACTATTAGATAGTGTAATCTATAATATACCCGGATGTAATATTTTCCGAGTCTATAATGTTACTATAGTTATACGTTGATGGAAAAGTAACAAAACCATAGGTAATTTATGAATATGAATTTATGAAAGACTTAAGCGTTGGAAATTGATCTGGATGTTGTTACTCTGTCAAGCTTATATAGTTGTAGTCTAGTGAAATACGTAGATAATCCAATTTATGGATATATGAATTCGAAATCCAATTTATGGATATATAAATTCGATGTCGGGATAAGAGGCAGGTCATGCCAAAAGTGCTCTCGAAAACTTTAAGACGTCGTATATATTGAATTATTGTAGACACAAGTTAAACACAAAATTATAAAAAAAATGCAAATATAGCATTTGTTCGTTTAGCTATTTGTGCAAGAAGCTATTACCAATATTTTGAAATATTTCAAAAACAAAATATGCATGCGTTTTCTATTTAGCTTGACTACAACACGACTAAACCAGTGTAAGAATTAGAATAATTTTGTAAATATTATAGTTAGTTGTCATCTAAGTAACTCTTTTTATCATCATTTGAAGACTGGCTGTATTGCGTTTTTGTGCAATGTATAATGTTTATTTTACAAAGATCAAAACACCACAATGCCAAAAAACAAACATTAAATAAAATACAGTCCAGTGCAAAGCTTTTATATTAAACTTAGATTTCTATGTTTTGAACTTGGGCGTAATAATGTTCTGTATTATATTGTACTTACGATATTCATTTACTCTGGTGGAATTTGTTAGTAACCTGGAAGGTTTCGATTCAAAGATGCCTTGTTTTAAAAAATGCTATCCTTACTCCTAGGTTACATGTTCAAAACCGAACTTACTGCAACTTAACAGAAATCTTTTCACATCATTGAGAGTCGTATTCCAGAACTATACTCAATGCTCAAGTCAGGACATGAGTATGATTTCATGAGTATGATTTGAGCATTGAGTAGAGCACTAGAAATCAAACTCAAGTCCTGACTTGAGCATTGAGTAGAGTTCTTGAATACGACCCTTAGTATCAAAAACAACTTTTGTGATCTTTAATATCACTAAATATTACCAAAGACTTAATTTTGATGAATACTGAATAGAGTTATGTAATATGAAAGTTGTTTTTGATCTGCTTTCACTATTGTTGAAATGAAATTTTGTTAATGGTGAGCGTTAAGTCCGTAATTAATTTCAATCGTAAATCCTAAGGAATTAAATTCTATAAGGTAGGAATCAATTTGTTAAAAAAATAGCCCGATTTGTAATTATAAGTATGTGGTTAATGTAAGTAATATTTTGATGTTTTCGTATGAAACATTGTACACTGTGCAAAATTGCATTGTACGTCTATGTTATTTGCCATGAATTTTGAAATAAATCTATTACTATTATCGGTAACACTTTTATTTGATTTGTAATCGGCTTATATTCTACCTACGTTCTACTACGTTCATTTTTTTTTCCGACAACCACAACAATTAGCTAGTCTCAAACTACGGAATCCCCTATACTATACCAAAGTTACGAAATACACTCAGGGGCATTCTCCAGAACACTAACTTTACTAATTTAGAATATTGAATTTCCCAAATTGATCAAATCCAACCCGGGACCTCATTCTGTGATAGAATAAATGCGCATTTGACCTCCCAACTCTTCTGATGGAAAGTGACTGTGAGGTCAACGATGTAGCATGCTCACTTAAACCCAGTGCCCCCAATGTAAATACTTGAGCCACAGAGGCCGACTTAACGTGAATAATAGGTCTAAAATTGGCGTGTCTAGTTCCAGCGCGACCATGTAATTTTACGTTACTACTAAACTAGTTACGTAAAAAGTCGCCTTTTAGGTCGATTGTAGTCGCAAAAAATTAGATTAGATACGGTTAAATTCACAGACATATATCTAATATAATACCTACATATACAGATTTATACTTTAAAAACTCTAGATATTTAAAATATTTATAATTAAGTACTTATTCCACTATCAGTTGAAAATTATTTTAATCACTACGAATATGATATCTTTTAGTAAATAAATAAATGAATCTTGACTGATCTTACTACGAACATTTGGAGCGATGGTTTTCCTTAGATGTACATTTTTTATTGTTTTCTACGTAAATGTACCTATC